CAGCGCCCCCCCCCCCCCCCCCCGGCAGCCATCTCCCACTGCATTTTTACCACAGCAGCCCAGAGATCCTGCTCTTTGGCAGACCCTGGGCAGGATGCTAGGGAGAATAAGGGACCAGTTCCCATCTCCAGTGTCTGCTCTGGCTCCTGACACAGAAAAACACAGACACATGTCCCAGGGGGAGCCCAGGAGAGAGAAGAGAGGACTGTTTCTTAGATTATATTCCAGTCCTTAGGTGAGTGGCCTAGTGTTCACACTTCTTGGGGGAAACACTTGAGGCATCCATTGCCAGCCAGCTGCTGAAGAGGAGGTGAGAAGCACTCAGGCATTTATTTATTTATTGAAATGGCCTGCTGACCCACTCTGAGGGGGCTGTGCTGACTCGTGGCACACATCTTGTGTTTAGCATGGTCAGCTAGTTCTCCTTGTGCTGAATCAGCAGGTACCAGGCTGGGGTAGGAGGGAGGAAGGAAGAAAGGATCCTGTTGGCCAAGCACGGTGGTTTTGTGTAGTTCAGATGGGAGGGGGCACTACTTGGGTTCTCATCTGTGTGCATTCAAACCCATGAGCCCTGGGTCCCCTCAGGCTCCAGCTGGGCGGGTTCTGAAGCTGTGGGATGCTAGAGATGCTCAGTGACTCGACTGAGCTCAGGGGCTGCACAAGCAATGCCTGCCCTGTTGCTTGTGGCTCGTCCATGTGCTGTAGGGGTGGCTGAGACCCTGCCTCCTGGAGGAGGATGAATGTGCACCTGACCTTAGCTGAATCACAGTACTCTAAGGCCTGGCTGCTGTGATTGGTTCAAGGATGATACACAGTGGGAGGACCAGGGGAACCAGTCCTAGTGCTTGTGTTGAAGGAGAAGCTGATGTTTTTGGTGACTGTCCCTGATAGGTGCCTGGGATTGGTGTCATGAGAGATAGAGCTGTGTCAATGAAACAGAATAGGGCAGAGGTGGTGAGGGTACAACCATCTTTGCTTGAAACTAGTTCTAGCCTGGCTTTTCAGTGAACCCCCTCCCCGCTTTTAAAGTTAGAGTCTCATTATACAGATCAAGTTGTCCTCAAACTCATGATTGTCTTGTCCCAGCCTTCAAGTTTGAACCACTCAACACCAACCTGGATTTTCGCTTAACCTGGTTGATGTGGCCTCCTCCTGTGACTGAAACAAGTCTGACAAAAGTAATGGGGCTGCCCAGTCACCCTCATAGAAGACCCACGCACCTGTTAAACTGGCACACTTACCCCAGGCCCACTCCTCCCCATCCTGCATGCTTGCACACACAAGATGACAAGACCATGTTTTTCACATGCAGCAGACACAGGCAATCCCAGAGCAGGGAGCTCATGCAGATAGATGCAAGGACCTGGCTCCAAGCACCAAATGCAGAGAAATCTCCAAGGGTAGGCACCTTGACGCCAGCTGATGGCATACAAGTCCCCCAGAGTGCAGCGGCGACCCGTGGACCGGGGCAGAGAGCAGTACCTCCAGGAGACTGGCCGGGCAGCGTGTTGGAGGGAGGGTAGAAGGTAGAGTTAAGAGACACTCACTCCCAGAGGCTGTAGGCCTGTGAGCACCTAGCAATGTTCCCTAGGAGAGATCTTCCTGAGTCTATTCCCAACTCCAGGTGTCCCAGAGAGGAGGTGCCTGGGGAATGAGCTTCAACTTGAGTGAAGGGGTGTCCAGCAGACATACTGAGAAACTAAGAAACTGTCATGGTAGAAGGGAATGCCTAAACCTGTAGGAAGATGGGCTCCTGTCCACTACCTGTGTGGCCCTGGACACAAATCAGCCTTTCTGACCATGGCTCCTCATCTGTGAAATGGAGCTAACAGCAAATTTCTCCTCAGGCATGTTCCTGAGCCTGGGACAGGGGTGAGGGAGGTTGCCCTGAGTAAGTAGCCTATAAAACACATCACAGACTGTGTAAGGAGACACAGGCTACCAGCAATGTAGCCCCTCCCTTTAATCTGAGCCCATCCTGTGATAGCCTGTGGTAGCCTGGCCTCCAGCTCCTGGAGGGCCACTGAAGCAGAGCTAACAAACTCTGCAGAAGGTTACAGTAGTACAACTAAATGCAAAGCCACATGCAATCTTTGGGTGTGTAAACTTTTGGGTTTCTAGAACCTCCTTCTCTTTACCCCCTTTTCTGACATACTTGATTTGTCTCTGTGTTTCCTCAGAGATAATCCACTGAAACCCAACAACACTCACCCCCCAGGTAGGATGGGGACACATGTTGCAACATTCCCATGTTCAACAGAGAAGGCTGGGGCTTAGAGAGGTGTCTCTCTCCCAAAGTTGCTCACTCCCAAGGTAAGATTCACACTCAGGTCTGTCAGACTTCCAGACACTCGTGTGCCACTGAAGGCACTGAGGGCCTCTCTGCTTTGGGAAGTTCTCGGGGAGAGGAAGCATTGGGCCTTGGCATTTCTGGACCACATACAACATCTACCATGAGGTGTCCCCAGGAAAAGGAAGTGTGTGGGAGACAGAAGGGGACACCTAAACCAACGGAAAAATCAGGCATGTTTAAACAGACAGGGTCAAACATCTTGCAAATGGGCAAGTATAACTTGATACTGTGGCCACCACAGCAATGTTAGAGAGGAGTGGTAGGATGTCAGCAGCAGTCAGGCTGGGGGTTACATAAAGAGACAAGGGCCTAGCTTTGACACGGCTTACCTAGGGTAGTTCCCACAAACCCATAAGGAAGCATGGGCTAACTCTACAGTTCTAATCCCAGTCTGCACACAGACTCTGGACCCTGAGCTAGAGAGATATCAATCCCAGAGCAGAGGCTGCCAAGAAGGGTGAGCAGGAAGCTTTTTCCTACCTTCCTCAGGTTGGAGGGAAAACTCATCTTGCACACCATCCTGGCCCTCGAGGCAGGTCGCAGGGACCCAGCCTTGCTCTTCAGCAGTGCTGACAAACCACCAACCTGTAAGAAGAATGCAAGGTTCTGTCAGCTGGACAAAACGAGGGTGAAATAATCCAGCCACCCTTCAGCACATACGGGGACTGTTCTGGAGGTGCCCTGAGGGCAGCAGATCCTCGCATACAGCAGTCCCTCATATGAAAGTAAGGACACACCTCGGACTCTCCCACACCCCTGCAGTCCTCATATAAAGGTATAGGACACACCTAGGACCCTCTCACACCCTTGCAGTCCCTCATATAAAGGTATAGGACACATTTAGGACCCTTCCACATCCCGAAGGAGACTTCTGCCCAAAGGATGTCAAAGCTGTGAACAGTTAGGTTGTACATCTAGGGGTCAGGGTAGGGAAAAGCTCTGGACATGTTCAGCACAATCACATTTTTTCCCTTGATTATTTTCTATCCACAACTGGTTGAATGCAAAGATGCAGAATCCATAGGTCTAGAAGCTGACTGTATATTATGCCACTCAACAGTTAATGTTCAAGTTAGGAAAAACAAAACAAAACAAAACAAAAACAAACTAGTTCATTGGGTAGAATATAACTGCCAATAGTAGCTACTAATTGCTAAAAAACAAGCTAACAAGAAACTTGTTTCTGAGCCTGGGACAGGGGTGAGGGAGGTTGCCCTGAGTAAGATGCCTATAAAACATTTGCCATTTGTAGGGTGTGCAATGGACTGCTCACTGTACTTGCATGATTTTGTATAACCTTAATATTATCATCCTCATTGCACAGTGAAGAAACTGAGACACAAGGAGGCTAACAGATGTGACCGTGTTCATCTAGGGTGTGGCAGAGCTGTAGTCTGTGTTTGATCCTAAAGGCACAGGCCTCAAAAGGTACTTGGCACATGCCAAGAGGAATCTGGATGCAGGTCTGACTGCACGACAGGCTTTGCACTCACACCACGTGCTCTCTGAGGAAGGGCTGTTGCAGGCCCAATGGCCTCTACCTAAAGATGCCGTCTTCTAATCCCTCAGTATCTGTTTTTTACATTGTGTTTAACAACCATGAAATAAAAAAAATACCCTTAAAAAATCTCCATGTATCTTGAATACACAGACCCTTAATATTACTCCCTAAACCAGTGGTTCTCAGCCTTCCTAATGCTGTGACCCTTTAATACAGTTCCTCATGTTGTGGTGACTTGCAACTATAAAATTACCTCATTGATACTTCATAACTGTAATTTCACTACGGTTATGAATTGTAATATACATATCTGATTGCAGGACATCTGATATGTGATCCCAAAGGGGTCATGACTCATAGGTTGAGAACCTCGGCTTTGAACAAACAGTCAATGTAGTACCTACATTACATGAAGCATAATGCCACCTAAAGACGATGTATAGTGTTTGGAGGTTGCACACAGGTCAAAAGCAACCCCCCTGCCTGTTTATACAAGGGATTGGAGCATTATCATTTGCTCAATATATCTTTCTCTCTCATATCCTTCTTAGCATCCCATCCTGGGGGGCCTAGGGAATGGGCACTCCTTTCTTTGTGTTCCTTGGTATCTATCTCCTTGCCATACAACCTGCATACATCTTTTGGGAACTAGAAAACCACAGAGTTAGGAACAGTGGAACTCCAAGCTCTAAAGCTTGCAGAGACTTGGGGACAAATGATGAGTCACTTGGAGTCTGGTTCATCCAGCTACAGCACAAGGATTATTGTGAAATGATGTGTATTTTTCAATTTCCATCCATGGGTCACTATTCCTGTAGCTTTTGGCTAGAATACTATTGGGGCTCTGTAGGCCTCAGAAGATTGGGACACACACTCTCTCTAGCCTTTTACTGCCTGCCCCTTGTATCTGCTTTTTCTGCCCAATGCAGGCATGGAAGTGAGGATTTCCCTCCCCCAAGGGAAGTCATAAAAGCTAAAAATATGCTTTAATCTTTTTCACCTTGGAGCTCCTGGCTATAAAGAAATTAAATGATCTGACCTACTTTGATAATAGATTATAAAATCCCATTTTGGAAGAGTTCCTACCCTATACCCTGGAATACAACACAGAGGCCAACAACAGTCTGGATGAGCAGCCTGGCTGGCTTCCCCAGTATCTATTAGCATTTGATCTGACCCCTTTTATTCCATCACAGGTCAACACAGCTGCCAATTGTGCCTCTTCAGTGAGATCTCTGAGAACCTGAGGGGTTTGGAGAGCTTGCTGAGCACAGAAGTTCCTGGAGGGTAGCACCCATAGAGGGTGTGTAAGTGAAGTGTCTCTTCCACCACTTGCCCGTGCATCTCTTCAGCTATATCTTTTTGAGCATCTTTGACAATGACCCTGTAAGCATGTTTCTCTTGGTCTTAAAAGCCACTTAATGGAGATAGAGGGGGGCTGTGTGCACCACGCTTGACAGCCAGCTGTAGGAAATGCAAGCAGAACAACTGGGTTTGTACTGGCTAAGGCAGTGAGGGATGGCCTGAGCCTATGGGATTCAGTGCTAGGTGGGCAGGATCAGAACAGTACCGGATTAAAGGACCTTAAGGTGTTCACTGAAGAAGTGAGTGCCACTCACTCGTATCTTTTATAGTCACAGATGTGACCTTGGAAGAGTTAGAGTATGGGGCACTGAGATGGTGTTGGAGCAGTCATCAGAGTCATCAAAGTCTTAGAGCTGTGAGTCCAAGATGCTAGCTCTCTGGGGTTCTTTTCTTTTAAGTTCAACAGAGCAAACCAGAGTCTACACCGAGGAGGCCTGATGGAGGGCCAGAAACCCCTCATTGTAATGGGAACCTCCGAGACTTAGGTCATCAAAGATGATAATGACTTCTAGATTGTATGATTTGGAGGTTTGATTGGCTAACACCAGCCTCATGACTAATGGTGACAAGGCCTAGAGGATGCCCGAAACATCATCTTCCTGTATTCTTGGAAGCAGGGACTATTCCTAGATTGCACAGTAGGGTGTGATTGGCTAACACAGGTCTCGTGATTAACGTGAGTAATGGTAACTTGAAGGATGCTGGAAACATAGTCCTTCCACAGTTACGTGGACTTAACTGGCCATCAGACTATCATAGAGCTTGGCCCCTCACAACATGAACCCAGTTGGGGAAGAGGCTGCTCACTCCCTTTTTCTGCATGGTGTGATGGCTGCTATGCGGCTAAGGGGGCGGGGGGGGGGGCAGGGAAGGAAGCATGCATTTCTGGAGCACATGCTGTGTGCCAAGTTCCGGTTGAGACACTCTCTACAGTATATCATTTACTCTTTTAACGGTTCTCGTGACAGTTTTCTGTGTTTTGTGGATGACAAAATTGGTGGCCAAAGGCATGCAGTGACCTGGACTGATGTGCAGTGTAGCGTCCAGGTGGAATATAGGCCCCTTGTCTCAATCACCCTACCACTGGATGTGACCAGTGGTTCTGAGAGATAGGTAGATGCCCATCTTCTCTGAACAGTTTCTTCTATTCCTTTTTGAGATACAGTCTCTCTATGTAGCCCAAGATAACCTAGAACTTGAGGTTCTCTCATCTCCACAAGTGCTGGAATTACAGGAGTGTGCCACCTCTCAGGTCTGCAGCCTTCTAGAGGACTCCCAAGGGAAATCAACAACAACAAAAAATTCTCAATGAAGCACTCGACTCTGTCTATAAGTACTTGAAAACCAGAAGGAATGTTTATGGTGCTGAGTGTCAGAACAATGATAACATTGGACCCAACAGGCTGCTGAGGCAGTAGCTATGAGCCCCCAGTGGCTCTGGGGAGCCAAGCTAGGTTGGTTTGCTTATTTGCTTTGGAATTTCCACATGCTCTGTTTTGTGGGGCTTGGCGATGGTCCAGGGTGCATGTGAGGGGGGTGGTCCAGGGAGGTCCTTACCTGACTCATTCTTCTCAATGATGTCCACCACTTGGCCCACACTGAGGCTGATCTCCGAGCTCTCCTGCTTCTGATAGTCTGCCACCACCACATACTGCTCCAAGACCATGGGGTCCACCGAGGTCAGGTCACTCCCTGTGAACAGCAAATGCCATCAGATATCCCATTAGCTCCTGCCCATGCACGAAGAGCAGGAACTGGCGGAAAGGTTGGGTAGGGGGCTTTCTAAGGAGAGAAATCTTTGTTACAGGATTTGTCTTGTGCCCACCTCTCCATCCTTGCATCCTCTCATCCACTTACTTACTCAGCCACCAAAGTTTACCAAGAGCACTGGGGGTCCAAGTAAGTGACATGTGGCACATACCCAGAAACTGGCTGCTTAGGGGAGGGGGGATGCAGGAGGATGGTTTTAAATGTTAATGTCATCATCCTGGCAGTCTTCATCCACCCAACTTCATCCTAAATTCCTCACCTATGAACCACATATTCTGTTGGGGACCACAGGGACAAAAATGGACGAAATGGATGACTACCGGTCTGAAGTAATAGGGGAGATAGACACGTGGATACGTGGAAAGTATACATTTACACATACATATGTATACACACACACACACACACACACACACACACACACACACACACTTATAAATCATATGAGTATCAGCCTGGAAACATCCAGCAGGGCAGGACAGAGAATGAACAGGAAAGACAAGGCTGTACCAAGTGAGTGGTCAGTAAGGCTTCTAAAGGAGCAACAGAATTCGGAGACTCATGAAGGAAGGTTTCCTGGGAGCTGGGGAGGACTGGAGCAGGTGGAGTTTTCCATGATGCGGAAGCCTAGGAACCTTCAGGAACAGGCTGAGGCTGGGAGGCAGAGTTCTGCCAGAAGGAAGGCATGGCACTGAGAGAAGAGTACGAGGAAAGCACTGCTCCAAGGTCAAGGACTTGGTAAGTTTGGATTTGTAAATCCTGAGGAGTGGGTTAAGAGTTTTATGAAGGGGGAGCTGGAAGGATGGCTCATCAGTTAAGATCACTGGCTGTTCTTCCAGAGGTCCTGAGTTCAATCCCCAGTAACCACATGGTGGCTCACAGCCATCTAAAGTGGGATCTGATGTCCTCTTCTGGCATAAAGTCATAGTGCATATAGAGCACTCATATACATAAAGTAAATAAATCTTTAAAAAACAGTTCTATGAAGGGAATGGCAAAATTTACAGCCAGACAAGTGACTCTGACATTGGCTGTCAATGCAGAGACAGGCAGAGGCTGGCAAGGGAGAAAGCACTCCAGACTGAGGGTACGAAGTTGTTAGGCAAGAGGTAATAGTGGCATTGGAGCTGGGCAGTGGTCCCAGAAGAGAAACATGTGGGGCGTGCTTCCAGGCTGGCAGCTTCCCTGGTGAGCAGTGTGTGTGTGTCACCCTGAAGCTGTGCAGCCCTGCTGCCCACCAAGACAGATAGGTATGCATGCAAAAACATAACACAGAAGACTTAAAAGGAACATCTCAGTTCAGAGATGTCAAAGGGAAGAGGCTGACATGGCATGTGGGGGGCAGGTCTGCTTCTTGGCTCTGTGAGCAGGTTTTGAACACTGACACTTTCCTACTGTGGGGATGGAAGGAAGGCATCTGGGCAGGGACCACCCTAACCACCGGTACCTGAGTAGAGAGAGCATGAGGGGAAGGGAGAGAAGGGATGTAGGATGGTGATGACAAAGAAGACTGGATGGGAGGAAGCCTGGAAAAGAATGCCTCTTGTGGGCTGTGGACCATCGAAAGCCTTTCCAGCATCGTCATCGTGCCTTGGATGGGCACTGCCTGTTACAGGTAAGAAAGCAGGCTGAGGACAGTAAGGGAAATGTCCTTTACTACACAGCTAGCTATGGGCTCCCCATCCAGCTGTGGAAATGAATGAAGGATGATCATGAAGGACGCAATGTCTGAGATCTTCTGGCTTTCTTTCCTTGGCAGTTCTTGAGTCCACCTCAGGATCCAGCCAAGCTGTGTCCTTTCTTTGCATTTCTTAAAGGTTACTGTCACTATTCCTAGCTCTCTCTCAACTACTACCTCCTCACAGGCCAACAGTTCACCAAAGCCAGACAGCTATGTAGGCCGGGGTCTGAGACAAGGCTGCCCTGGCCCTACCGGGCCATGGCCCTGTAGAGAAGCTCCTGTCAGACTAACCTGCTGTGTTCTGCTCCTCCAGGACCCTGTGTGAGGAGCTGTGAGTCTAAGATGCTGGCTCTCTGGAGTTCTTTTCTTTTAAGTTCAACAGAGCAAACCAGAGTCTACACCGAGGAAGCCTGATGGAGGGCCAGAAACCCCTCATTGTAATGGGAACCTCCGAGACTTAGTCTCCTAACTGGCTCCCTGCTGCCAGCCCCTGGTACCACTGCTTCCCTCCTTTCCTCAAAGAGGCAACTTGTGGTAACCCCTCTGATGGCCTGGCACTGCTTCACCTACTTTTGTTTCTTCTAGTTTGCTTTTGAACTTTAAAGTCTGTATTATTATTATTATTATTATTATTATTATTATTATTATTATTTTCTTTTTTGAGACAGGGTCTCACTATGTAGTTCTGGCTTTCCTGGAACTCACTATGTAGATCATGCTGGCCTTGAACTTAGAGATCAGTCTCTGCCTCCCAAGTGCTAGGATCAAAGGTGTGAGCCACCACCACCACCCAGCTCTCCTCTATTACTTTGTTTTGCTCATGTACCTGTTTGCCTTGACATTCCCTGGGGACCTAGCACTGCCCAACACACAGTAGAAGCTTAGTTAATACTGAGTGACCGAATCAGAAAATCATGAGATAAGAAGCCATGAGCCAAGGGCAGAGTGCAGGCCTTTGGTTGCATGAGTAGAGCATTGCTGAGCATGGGTCTCAGGGCTTTGGGCATCAGGCTGCAGTTTCTTGCTGAGGCATGCTTCAGAGGCAAGAGCAAGGAACTGCTTTTCAGTACTGCCCAGGGCAAGTTATCTGCGTTTTACTCAGAACACCCCACTTATCAACACTACGGGGTGGGAGGGGGGAGAAGGAGAAGGAAGAGGAGGAGGAGGAGGAGGAGGAGGAGGAGGAGGAGGAGGTCTGGTATCACATGATTAGGCTGGAGATTTAAACCAGGCTTCAGACCATTCAGGTGCCATGTAGGGACCCCCTACTGGTAGAGTGTGATATTGCAACTAAACCCTATTAATGCTCCCAGGAACATCTGAGGCAGATAGATTCTAGAAGTTGCCAAGGATGAAATAAAAAGAGTCCTAGGCTATATCACGTGATCCAGGAGGAATTGAGAGCAGAAGAGTTATTTTTGTCATTAATGCTAAAAGTATTCTCAAGCCACACAGTGCCTACTCTACCAGATAAACTTTTGAGTTAGGTTTTGAGTTATGTGTTTTTTTCTTTCTGATGACATCTTGAATTTTTAAAGTCATGAGTAATGTCAAAGTGGGATTTTTTTTCCTTCCATAAGTTCACTAAATTGCCAGGCTTGCTGGAAGAATCTGTAAATAAGCAAAAATCAAGAAAAGCTCTTGCAAGCCATCAGATGACCTGCTCAACTGTGGTGAGAGGCTCTGCCCTCCAAGTCCCCATGGGATAAGCAGAATTTGAGGCCGCATGAGACAAGGCTGCAGGGGCCAGCTAGCTGTGTGGCTGTGACTGGGCAGTGCTAGGGACAGACAAGCCTTTTCCCATCCAGGGTTTGTCATAGAAAATGCAGGTGTTTTCTGTTTTTAGTCTGAATCTCTTTAAAATTCAATCTAGAAGGCTGGTTCTAAAATCAAGGCAGTGTCCACTGGTCAGATAAATAAGGAGCCCTTTGAGGGTTTGGAGTCTGAATGAAGAAGGTGCCATGTTCCAGCCAGGTTTATAAATAAACCTGAGCCCCATCATTGCAGGTGAGTGATGTCAACCACAGTCACCACAAATTAGAACCTCGGCTCTCTTTTCCAGACAGGTCCCCTCATCAAGCCTGTTCCAACCGGACACTCTTATTTTCACTAACTAGAGCTGACTCCTCCCTCTCTCCCTGCTCCTTCTCGGTGAGTCTCAGCATACTCAAAGCCAGAAATTCTGAGACCAGCCCAGAGTGGCAGCTGCTCTCTGATCTTTGTTAAGAAAAGAAATGTGTCATTATTCCAGGCTGAGGGCTGTTTGCAGCTTTAGCAAAATGCCATAGCTGTGGCCAGTGCCCATTAAACCCCAAAGGAGAGCTGGATGCAGTCAGTGAGCAAAAGGGGCCAGGGCTGATTCCAGAAGCTGTGCCTCAAGTAAAGAAGTATATAAGGTATGGCTTCTGTTCTCACTTTCTGTCATGATTAGCCTACAGGCCTGTAAAGCTGACCCAGGCTCTGCTCTCAACAGGAAAAGGAGAACACAGCCTGGAAGTGTGGACCTGCTCCCAGAGACATCTACAGGCTTGAGTGATAATCAAAGAGCATCAGTTAGATACTATTAAAAGTGTTTTACACATACTACTATAAAGCCTCGATAAACCAATAAAACACATTATCGTGTGTGTGTGTGTGTGTGTGTGTGTGTGTGTGTGTGTGTGTGTGTGTGTGTACGCATGTGTGTGTGCTTGAATGGAACCCATGACCTTGTGCATGTTAGGCAACTGTTCTACCACTGAGCCACACTCCAGGACTAGATGTCATGCATGGGTAAACTGAGGTAATATCATCAATTTTCACTTATGGAATCTCTGCCTGCGCCTCCTCATGGAGTCCCTCAAACTTCCTGGAGTTCAAGGAGGGCAGGGTCCTGGAAACTCTGAAACCCACACTGGCTGAGGCTGCCAGCAGGAGGAGCATGGGCAGTAAGAAGAGTGGGGCTTGCGATCTTGTCTTTAGAATGCATGTCCTGTGGGAACCATCACCCCCAGGCCCCCTTCTCTTTCTCATGACCTCTGCTAGAAGAATGCCATCATCCTATGAATAACAAGGCTGTTTAAAGAAAGCCTACTGTGTGAGAAGGGAGCCCAGCAAGGCTTGAGTGACAGGTACAAAGCTCTGTCTAGGACAGTGGTCTAAAGGAAGCTTTTAGAGTCCAGCCAGAACTGAGGCTGTCAAAGGACCAGGCCCAGATCTGCTGCAGACTTCACCTCCCTGCCTCAATGCTTGGTGTCCTCTCAGCCTGGAATTCCCTTCTCTCTTTGGAAATCTCACCCTCAGTCCCTGTGATTTGGGGACTCTATCATCTCACCCCTCCCTCATCCTCTCACCTTTCCAGCCCTGGGGAAAGCGCTGAGTATCCACATTGCTTTGTACAGAGGCACTCTGCATCATGGTTAGGAAGACGTCTGTCTTCCCATGCCACAAGGGCACTCTCATCTCATCCTCTCCATAGTAGTTTTGTCAAGGGATAAAACAGCCTCAAGTAATCATCAATCATCAGCTCATCCATCCATCCATCCATCCATCCATCCATCCATCCATCATCCATCCAATCCATCCATCATCCATCCATATACGAACCATCCATCCATCCATCATCTCTCTGTCTATCCACCATACATCTAACTACATACCCTATTACCACCCATCTGTCCATGTATCCGTCCGTCCATCCATCCATCCATCCATCCATCCATTCATCCATCCATCCATCTGTATTGCTGTGTCCCCAGCATGGCACCCAACAAGGGCACATGGCAGGAATGAAAAGAAGAGAATGTAATATATGCTTACCCGACTTCTTCTTCCCAATATGCTCCCTGTGTAAGAGAGAAGAAGGATGAGAGAGAGCCAGTCAGTCTTTGTTTGTACTGAGCTGATCCTATTAGGATGCTGACAGTCTCCACCCCACAGCATCCTCAGTGTTAGGTACTGATCTGGTCCCATTAGGATGCTGGCAGTCTCCACCCCACAGCATCCTCAGTGAGTGGAGAATTCAAGCCTACCACAGGAACCCAGACTTCTTCTAAGAAAGACTCCTTCTTTGATTCTGCCTTTATCTGATAAGTGTTTTAGATCCTGGGACCAAGTTTTCTATGCATCTGGGGAGTGGAGAACCTAGGAAAGAGTCTCAGTCTACCTAGCCATCACACTCTTTGTTAAGCTTGGTGGTCGTGGTGTAGAAGAACTGTGGATTAGGGATGCTTAACCAGGTTCCATTGCCTCTTAAATGGTACCATCCTTACCCCACGCACAGTGACTATGCAGGCTGTATGCAGTGAGGCCCTGCAGGGGCCAAGGCAATGTACTCTGGCTTAGTTTATACTTTGCTGACTATGGGTGCCCGTGGGTCTGAAAAGACAGCAGGAGGGAAAGAGGGAGGGAGGTGTCACCTGGGTAAGTCCAGAGACCAACTTACTCTTTGGGAGGATTCAGGTCTTCAGGTCTTGTTTCAAAAAACTGCAGCACCTCATCACACTGAGAGATGTAGGGAGGCAGCTGGATCAGGGCCTAGAGCAGAGCCATGGGTGAACCCGAGGAAGGAGAATGCTGTCCCCAGCAGTTCTTAAACTCAGGCAGGCACTAGGATCACAAGGGATAATCCTTCCTAAAGCATAGACTGGGGCCCATCAGAGCTTTTGATTTAGCAGGCCTATGGTGAGGCCTGAGCCCGGGCATTGTAGCAAGCTTCCTAGTGATGCGGATGTCTTTGTCTTGGAGAACACACACATATGCACACGCACTCGCCCAGATGTATGGAGATAACAGTCTGCTGGCATATGTGCAAACATTACATGTTCATATTTACACGTACATATTTACACAATCCAGCCCTTACTGTACGTACTATTTTGGAAAGTGATGCTTTTACTAACAGTGTGGACTCCATTCATTTCATCTTTACCTACCATCTTCTGCTGTCTGCCATCTCTACCACACCACTGGAGAATATCTGGAATGTATCCAACACATGTCTGAATTTCCCAAGTTGAAGCTATAAATCTCGACGATTCGGATACAGGTTCCCAGACATCTGACAGAGTGGCTCAGGTGGGTTACAGAAGAGCCTGGCTACATCTACTGGTAGGTTGCATGAAGTAAGGTAGGTACAAGGGAGGCCATAGGCATTTGGTCTGTCTGCTGATCTACAAACAAGTAGTCATTCAAGGATTTAACAGGTATCTTCTTCACCCAATGCTAATCACAGAGGAGGCACCATACTGAAAGAACACCACAGTTCTACAAACATTTGGTTAAGGTCCCCTTCTCTCCTAGAGCAGGTCCTGGACAGGAAGATGGAGGTGCAGAATGCTCATGGTAGAGCTGGTTCAGGTCCCTGTTACTATAGTCACAGTGTGTGTGTGTGTGGGGGGGGTATGAAATAATCTTTTTGTACACTATGAAGATGTGTTTTTGCCAAGGCGTCTTTGATTGGTTTAATAGAGCACTGAATGGCCAATAGCTAGGCAGGAAAAGGTTAGGCAGGACTTCCAGACAGAGGGAGAAAAGGGGGAGATGAATCTAGGCCTTGTGCTTTCTCATTGCACAGAGACTGGACAACAAATGTTATGGCTAGTTTTCCAAGAACTTTACCATTATCTCAATTTTCTCAGGTCTTCTAAAGATGCTATCACCCCCAGATATCAAGAAGCAGTCTAGAGAACATGACACCCACATTCCCAAGAGGTGGGGTAGGTGGGTGGGTGGGTGGCTTTTGGTGGCTTGGTGGGTTATGGATGTTTGTTATCATCTACTTTCTGTCCTTTTGAATTTTTCCTTTAGGTGTCTCCTAGTTGGGACCAGACAGCATCTGGCCCCTCATGTCCAGCTAGTATCTTAGAGCATGCTCACCCATTCAAGGGTCACCCTTGTTGAAGCACATGCCAGCATTTCTTTCTTTGGGCTGAATAACATTCCATTGTCCACGTGCATTGCATTCCTCACATCCATCCATGAACAGGTGGTCTTCTGGCTCCACTTTTTTAGAGGGTAATAGTGTTGTGGTTGGGACCCAGGGTTCACACTAGGTAAGTGTTCTGTTGCTGAGTTTGACCTCAGTCCTGAGTGAGGTTTAGTATGTATGTATGTATGTATGTATGTATGTATGTATGTATGTATCTATCTATCTATCTATCTATCTATCTATCTATCTATCTATGTATCTTTAATGTGCTTTGGTGTTTTGCCATGGGTGTCAGGTCCCCTGAAACTGGAGTTACAGACAGTTGTGAGCTGCCATGTGGGTGCTGGGAATTGAACCCAGGTCCTCTGGAAGAGGCAGCCAGTGCTCTTAACCACTGAACCATCTCTCTAGCTCCTTGTTGATCATTTTAATTTGTCAAGAAGCATCTCCTACTCTGCATCTGGCACTGGGACTGACCTTTGCCAGGTGGAAGGGCCACCCTCTCCTGCTCCACCTCCCACTTTGATGTATTTCCTTTTGCTAATTCTGGGTGGTGAGTGGTCATCCTTCCGCCTAGGATACCTGCTGCCCTGGGCTCACTGTGGGTCTTTACTCTGAAGTCCTGTAACTTTTGCAGCTGAACCACATCAGGGAGTTGGGGTGGGATGCCAGTTGAACTGTGCCATGCCCTGCTGTGTGGCGTATAGACACCTTACATCTACCCAGTCTGTGTCAGCAACAGGCTCCTCAGTAGTACTCTCAAGAATAAACTAATGCTTTCTCTAGTGAGTGAGGCTTTGCTCTGGAAGGACAATGCACTGCTATAAATTGAGCCTTTCTGCCACATTTTTCTCATTTGTTTTCTGCCATGAGTTGGGAATGCTTACGAAGCCCTTGCTGGCACCACACTCAACAACTTCCCAGCTTCCAGAACTATGAGCCAAAAGAAATCTTTCTTCCTTATTAGATATTTAGTTTCAGATACTCAGTAATGGCAAAAGGAAATGAGCTAGACAGGGCTATACTCGGATATCCTGGGGATAGAGGTATGGCTTAGCATCCATGAGACACTGGGATCAATCCTCAGTACCAGCAGGTCCTAGTGGTGCACACCTTTAATCCCAGCACTTGGGAGGCAGCGGCAGGCAGATCTCTGCGAGTTCCAGACCAAGTTGGTCCACATAGTGACTTCCACCACAGCCAGAGCTATACAGTGAGAGAGTCTCAGAAAAAAACAAACCAAAAAACCCAAAACAACAAACCAACAAAACAAACACAAGTGACTGGTACCAAACTCCAAACAAAACCCAAATTATTGTAGAAAAGAGTCCCTCTAGGTGTCAGCCATGTCTGTCTTGGATCAACCCCACAGTCTGCAGTCATCAGCACTGCCACTGTTAGAAATGATTTTTTTCTCTATTGGAGAAGTGACATGTATTCTAGAGATATTCTGACACTCTGGCCCCCGTGTGAGCAGAAGCCAGTGAGGCCATGTCTCACATACATCCTTCACAATGGTGCCCTGGGGCCTAGCCTCTTCCTGAGGGTTTTATAGCTGGGTTTAGCTGGTCTGCTCTCAGAACTTGCTGCATCTGTGTGGGAAACAGCTCAAGTGCTGCCAGACAGACAGCGGGTATTCCAACGAGCCCCACAGCAAGCTGAGTGGCTGTTTATAAGGCCGTGTGACAATACAAGCTCGTCATTGTGGCAGGTTCAGAAGTCGTGTTTTCACTGTGTCTTTTTATAAACATAAGTTCTTAGATGAACTGTGGCCAAATAAATACATATTCTTTGTGATCAGTACATTTTGTGTCTTAAAAATCCCTCCATGCTTAAAAAAAAAAATGGTACATTTACATAATGGAGGACTACTCAGACGTAAAAGACAATGACATCCTAAAATTTGCAGGCAAATGGACAGAACTAGAAAAAAAAAAAAACCCAAAAAACATCCTGAGCGAGGTAACCCAGGCCCAGACAGACAAATACAGTGTGTACTCACTCAGAAGTGGATACCAGACATATAAAGCAAATGACACCCAGTCTACAATCCACAACCCCAAAGAATCTTGAACCCTCTTCCAGAAACAGATGGAAGCAGATGCAGAAATCCACAACTAACCAATGGTCCAAGCTCCTGGAGTACAATCAAAGTGAGGGAGGAGCGATAATATGAACAAAGGAGTCAAGATCATGATGGGGAAACCCACAGAATCAGCTGACCCGAGCTAGTGAGAGATCACTGACTCTGGTCTGACAAATGGGGAAACTGCATAAGACTGAACTGGACTCCCTTAATATAGGTGACACTGTGCATCTGGAACAATATATGAGGCTGTGGGTCCAAGATCTAACTCTAAGGCACAAACTGACTTAATGGAGCTCATTCTATATGGAGAGATACCTTGCCCAGCCTAGACACAGGGGTGTGGGGGGGAGAGGTGCCTTGGTCCTGCCTCAAGGAGATGATGGGACAGACTTAGTAGACTTCCTAGGGGAGGCCTTACCCTCTCTGAGGAGCAGATCGGGGGGGGGGGACTGGGAGGAGAGGAGGGAGGGGAAACTGGGATTGGAATGTAAAAAAATAAATTACTATAAAAAAGGACAAAAATCCCTCTATGCCTAGAGATGGGAAGATATTTTGTTTTCTAAGATCTTTATAGCACTGCCTCTTGTATGGAAATGGTTCCCCTGTGCTGTGAGACTGTTATCTTCTGCATCCACATCCCCAGTTGGAAACCCGTTATCTGGGAATCCAGTCTTTCCCAATGAAAGGTTGTCTCTGTCATGGCCAACCTGTCCAACATGCAGGGGTCTGTTTCTGGGGTCTCAATTTGTTTCCAGTAGGTTTTTCTATCTGGTGATAATTAAATGAATGATGGTGACTTTACACTAGGCCTGGCAGAGCACTTTCTTGTATTTTACTACACACCCAGCAGCCAGGTTTGGGTACCAGGAGTCCTTGCCTATTTCTACCTGTTGGAGATTTCCATTCTCTACTAAAATTAAGCTCAGTGTGATGGATCCCATTGCCTTAAGTCAGTTCACAATGTCCCTAACAGATGTCTAAATGTTAGGAATAGCTTAAGGATCTTGAAGTGCAGATCTTGTGACACAAGGGACAGTTTCATCTTCTCCAAAGCAGGCAGATCCTTTGATGCTGACACAGGGAATCTGGACAATCAAAATACCAAAATAGTGGCTTTGTTCTTCTGATTTGTTGCAAGGCTCAGCTCATATAACCTAAGCAGTTTCTTCCTTGTGGTTAATTCATGATCTTGGTATCATCCTGCATCCAGGCAGCTGCAGGCAGCTGGTGTCTCTTACAGCTCCAAGTTCTAAAATCTCCTTTTCAGAATAAGATAGCCAGAGGTGTGGAAGCCCAGGCATGAATGCAGCTGGAGCTGGAGAGAAGTGGGTGTGCTAGGGAAAGAACAGGGTAGGATTGTGTGGGCAGCTTCTGGGAAATGTACAGGCAGGAACTGTTTAGCAGGGCAAGGTGACCCCAAGGACCTAAAGTTCTTGCCAGCAGGGCCTGGACAAAGGGATGCTACCTTCAGAATGGCAATTTCAGGCTTTATAGGTTTGGGGGGGGGCACGGGAAACATGGGACTTTCCGCCGAGAGTTGGCAGGTAGTAGCAAAGTGCTTGTCCCTGCCTCCCACCCCTTCTGAAGACGATAGTTAGGAGGGATGAGTTTGTCTGCCTTTGGTAATCTGTTTCCTGTTGAAATACAAAAGCAACTGATGCTGGGTCCTTAATGAGATAAAGGTTTATTTGGCTCACAATTGTGGGGCTGGCCAGAGCCCCTGCCTGTGTCATAACATGGTAGAGAAATGCAGAAGGGATCAAGAGCACCAGATAGTCTTGGTTTTTATAACAGCAAGCTCTTGAGAAAACTAACTCGCTCAAGGTCAGTATGAAGCCCAGTTCTTGCAGGCTCTGCCACCTGCACACTGCTACACTTAAGGTCACATATCCAACACAGGAACATTAGATGAGCACTCTCAATCCACATTCACATTATGGCACTGAGTCACAATCCAGGCCCGAATGCTTCAACCTCTTGCATTTTCATTTCTTCAGAGACAATAATTGGTACCCAGGGTGTTAAGTCTGGACTCAGCTTGCAAGCCCTTCAACACCATGACTATGAGTTGCTTTGAGGTGCCATTTCCTCATCTACATAACAGGAATATGGAAATCCACCTTGCATAGTCACTGGAGGCATGGAACAAGATCATGTCTGACTAGGAGCAGACAACTCCATCAGGAGTGATTTTCAGGCCTTACTAGATGTCGACTGACCAAGAGGGGCCCATCTGTCCCGACACTGACCTCTTTTGTATAAAAGTTTTCAGATTTATTACAGTATAATTTGCATGCCATAAACTTACTCACTGCAAGTACCAGTTCAGTATTTAGTAAATTACAGAGCTCTATCCTCATCCCCACAATTCAGCTTTAGAACTTTCCCATCATCCCAAACATCAAATTTGCAGTCCATCTCCCCGCCCACGGTTCCAGGGCCCAGGAAACAGCTCATTGATTTTCTGTGCTCATGAACTCGCCCTGCCTGCACATTTTATTCTGTCAGTCACTTTTTGCATCTGGTTTCTTTCACTCAGCATCATGTTTCTGTGATTCATCTAGGTTATAGAATCTACCCACATTTAATTGCTTGATAGCATCAAGTTGTAGTCCGCCTCTCCCATTTGGCTATTATGACTTAATATTGCTAGGAATGTTAGCATCCAAGACTCTGTGCGGACATAAGCTTTCTCTTAGGACAGACCCAGGGCTGACAGTTTCACGGGATGTGTTGAAACAGGTTCTTGCTATGTACCCAGACTGGCCTAGAGTTTTGTGGTCTTTCTGTCTTAGCCTCACAGAAACTGCCCCATTATTTCCCAACATGGTTTCTCATCTTACGTCTTACCAGGATGAGGGCTCCAGTTTTCCCTGATCCTCGCTAACGTCTGGCACAACTGCCCAGTGATTAGTAACAATCTATGGTTCCTGATCCCAAGACTCCACTGGTTCACAATGCTAAACATCTTCTCGTGTGTTTATTATCTATTTATTTAATTTGTTTTTGAAAAAGGCTTTCACTTTGTAATCCTGGCTGGCCTTGAACTCTTTTGTTGATCAGGATGGCCTTGAAATCACAGGGCTCCTCCTGCCTCTGTCTCCTGAGTGCTGGGATTAAAGTCATGCACCACCACACCCAGCTCCAGCTCACATGTTTACTGGAATCCTTGTCCCCTCTTGGGTAAGGGCCCTGCTGGAGTTCTTCCCCACGTCTTTCTATTCTGGATCCTCTTTCTTTCTTCCTTCCTTCCCTCCCTCTCCCTCCTTTCCTCCCTCCTTCCTTCCTTCCTTCCTTCCTTCCTTCCTTCCTTCCTTCCTTCCTTCCTTCCTTCCTGATACAGGGTTTGTCTATATAGCCCTGGGTCCTGGAACTCACTCTGTAGACCAGGCTGGTCTCGAACTCAGACATCTGTCTGCCTCTGCCTTCCAAGTGCTGGGATTACCACTACCTGGCACAAGTTCTTGTATTCTCAGTAAGTTATTTACAAATATTTTCACCCTGTCTGTGACATACCTTTTCAGTTTTCTAGTAATGTTATTTGATTGATTGATTGATTGAGTTTTGAGACAGGGTTTCTCTGTGTAGCCCTGGCTGTCCCAGAATTTACTCTGTAGACCAGGCTAGCCTTAAACTCACAGAGTTCTACCTGCCTCAGCCTCCCAAGTGCTGGGATTAAGGATGTGCACCTCTATGCCCAGCTTTTTGTTTTTTTAAAGCAGAGAAGTTTGTCAATAGGTTTGATGATGACTAACTTGACCAAATTTATTTGTTAAGGACTATTACTTTTGATGTCACATTTAATAACCCAGGGTCATGAAAATTTCCTCCATGTTTTCTCCTGGAAGTTTTATAATTTTGGCTCTTTTATTTAGGGCTTTGGTCCGTTCTGTGTAAGCTTGCATATGCGTGTTCACATGTGTGTGTGGAGATGACAGGTCTAACTAGTCATCAACTGCTCACCTTGTTTCTTGAGATGATGTTTTACTGAACCCAGACATCACCAAGTCAGCTAAACTACATGGTCACTGAGCCCAAGATTCTCTTCTCTCCTCCACAGCACAGGGATTACAGATGTGAGCTGTCATATCTGGTTCTTTACATGGGTGCTGGGGATCCAAACTCAGGTTTCCACGATTCAGGAGCTCCTGTGACTCCTTTTGAGTTGGTTTTTGTACAAAGTATAAGATAAAGGCTCAAGTTCATTGTATTTTTGCATGTGTACAGATGCTGTGGGCTGAACTGTGCTCACCTTTCACCCTTAAATCTATATATTAAAGCTCTCACGATGGATCTTTACAGAAGTAATTGAAGATTAAACAAGATCATTAGGGGTGGGCCTTGAGCCATATAAATGGTGTCCTTTTGGATTAGGGTGCAGATACATAAAGATACATCTTGTACAGTCACACACAGCTAACTGCAAGCCAAGGACAAGGTTTGGGAGACCCTGCTAATCGCATTTAGCTTTCAGAAGTGCCAGAAAACCAAGTCCTGCTGTTGATATCTCCAGGTCTGTGATGATTTGTGGACCTGATGAACTATGCAGTAGTTAGCTGTAGCATCTGTTTTCTCTTTGAACTGTCTTGGCATCTTGCTGAGTATCACTTAGCCTGGCATTTTGGAACATTTACTCCTGGTTCACAATGTTGTCCACTCATCTGTGCATGGATCCTAAGGTGGCACTACAGAGTCTGGACTACTGCATCCTTGTAGGGAGTCTCGGAAATGGCAAGTGGGACTTGTCTTTCAAGGTCCTTTGCATTTATTAACACCCCCCCTCCCCACATACGTTGATCTTGTCAGCACCACTGTGGTACTGTAGGGGCGGGCTTTGAGGTCTCCTATGCTCAGGTATTACCCAGTGTCTCAATCGAATTCCTGTTGCCTGCAAGATGTAGGACTCTGAGTTACCTCTTCAGCACTGTGTCTGCCTGCATGCCACCATGCCCCCCACCATTATGATAATGGACTGAACCTCTGAAACTGTAAGCTACCCTTCAATTAAATGTTTTCCTTTGTAAGATTGGCAGTGCTCATGGTGTCTCTTCACAGCAATACAAACCCTAACTAAGACAACCACTAGGAAGCCCACTGGATTTCTACAGGATTAAGTCCAGATTGAAAGAAAATTTTGAAGAATGGCTGCTTTTGCAATTCCTAGTCTTCCAACTTATGAGTACAGAATGCCTTTTCATTCAGTTAGGAGATTTGTGTGTGTGTGTGTGTGTGTGTGTGTGTGTGTGTGTGTGTGTGGGTGTGTAAGGGAGAGAGCAC